TAGTTCTTGAAGTGAGTTTCGAGAGAATATAAAATATTTATCGATTCGACTATCATACAATCGTTAATGAATTTTTAAAGTTAACTTAATATCAAAAAATTTCAAAAATATAGTTTGAAAATGCCTATTTTGATGTCCCGTAACATTTGCTACGATTAGCCATTTCACGCATCATTAACGACGTGCAATATTATGTCGCGAGTACTTCAAAATGATATTAAAAATGTTATATTTCGATTTTGTTTGATATCCCGTATGAGCCTGAAAATGAACAAAAAAATATAAGCTAAAAATAATAATAATAATTTACATAAACCATGGAGATTTATGCTATTTTTTTTTTTACTTTTATTTGTAATACATTTTTTTAATATTTAATTTTAAAAAATTAAATATATCTAAATATTTACTTAAAAATGTTGAAGTTAATATTTTTTACCTATAAGTAACTTTTACACTTATAATTTTTTATTACTTTTAAATAACTTGAAGTGATTTGTTTACTTATAAGTAACTTTTTACGTTCTAGATAGTTTAATCTTTTCTTAATATTTAATTTTAAAAACTAAATATATCCAAATATTTATAATAAAAAATTTTAAGTTCACATTTTTTTTTTATATATAAGTAGCTTTTGCAATTATAAGAGAACGAGGAAATAATATATATATATATATATATATATTATGTAGTTTTTACAATTATAAGTTTTTTATTTTAAATAACTTGAAAATCTCTTCTTTTACTTTTAAATAACTTAACCGGTTTGAGAACTGGTTTGGCAACAGGAAAAATTCTATTTAATAATACTGTAGGACTCTTTCTCCTAATTCTCACGCCATTAACTATCAACCATAACTTATATATTTAAATTTTTAAAATTATATTAATAAAAAAATTATTGTAAATAAAATGTAAAAAAAAAAAATCATATTCACTCCATGCATGGAGAAAAAAATTTACGTCATACTACATAATTTTTCTTGAGCAAAATGATGTATTGAGAAAATTGTTGCGAAAAAATAATAAATAGTAATAAAATAATTAAATTTTTTTTTAAGAAAAACGACTTATACGCATTTTTTAACATATATGTTTAATGTTCGTTTAACTATTTTCGATATTTATTTAGATCATTCAATGTGTCTATGATATAGTTCTTGAAATGAGTTTCGAGAGAATGTAAAACATTTATCGATTCGACTATCATACAATCGTCAATGAATTTTTGAAGTTAGCTTATTATCGAAAATTTTGAAATATAGTTTGAAAATGCATATTTTGACGTCTCGTAACATTTGCTAAAATTAGCCGTTTCGTGCACCGTTAACGACGTGCAATACTATACCACGAATACTTCAAAATGACATTAAGAATGTAATATTTCGACTTCATTTGATATCCCGTAATAAGCCTGAAAATGAACACAAAAACATAAGTTAAAAAAAAACCACATTTAGCAAACCTCCGTGCACGGAGGTTTATCCACTTTTTCCCCCCTTTTATTTGTAGTACATTTTTTATTAATATTTAATTTAAAAAATTAAATGTATCTAAATATTTACTTAAAAATATTGAAGTTAATATTTTTTACCTATATGTAACTTTTACAATTATAATTTTTTTATTACTTTTAAATAACTTGAAGTAATTTTTTTACTTATAAGTAACTTTTTACATTCTAGATAATTTAATTTTTTTATTAATATTTAATTTTAAAAACTAAATATATCTAAATATTTATACTAAAAAAACTTTAAGTTCACATTTTTTTTATATATAAATAGTTTTTGCAATTATAAGAGAATGAGGGATTAATATTTTTTTTTTTTTTTACCTATAAGTATCTTTTACAATTATAAGTTTTTTTATTTTAAATAACTTGAAGTGAATTTTTTACTTATAAGTAATTTTTTATCTTTTAAATAATGTAATCTCTTCTTTTACTTTTATATAACTTAACCGGTTTGGAAACTGATTTGGCAACAGGAAAAAAAGTCTCAATATTCTGTCTTTCTTTTTTTAGTTTATCCCATATGTGCTTCTTTTTTTACAACTGACACATAGACACATAAATAATTTAACATCGTCCTTCCAACATCGTGTACTCAACATTAAAATATTTATTAAGTCACTATGTCTCAATTTTTCTTTTATAAATAAGTTAACACAAAGTTTCAACTTCACATCTGCAACTGCAAAAACAAAAAAATTATCGTTACCATTTACAGTTTCCATACTTTAAAATATTCTAACTTCTATTATTTTGAGCTAAATCCTACAAAATGGATAGATAAAAAAAGAGTTTGACCATATACATATATATTTAATTTTTAGAATTTTTTTCTTCGTATTATAAATAATTTGTTTCGATTTAATTTTTTTTTCATTTTATGATAAAACATAACTTTTTTAAATTTTAATTAAATTAAATTTATTTTAAATTTAAATTATCTCAATTTAATTAAAAAAATTTATTATAACTTTTTCGAGTTTTTTATTTTTCTCTGCAATTCTTTTTTTGGTTCTTTAATTTGTTAAATCATTTAATTTTCCTCATTTCACGGACACATAGCTCTTGATTATTGAATCAAAATACATTGAGAGTTTTATTACTTTGTCAATTATTTAACATATATATCACACTGTAGCAAATTTTCTTTGCTTTTTTTTTTTTATCGTGAGATCAAAAACCACGTCGTATTATTTTCAATCATTTTCTGTTTACTTTTTCCCCCATTTTCACACGTTACAGCCATGCCTCTTTGCTTCTCCATTTCCGCACACAATCACCCATCATTTTTCACTGGGTTCTTTCCATTTGGTTGACCAAAAAATAATATCGGTCAAAATGTTTACCAACTATTTGAATAATAATTTACTAAGGCGGTTCACTAAAATTCCCCATTAAGTGGCTATTGCTCTCTCTCACTTTATGCGTACTTTATCTCTCCACACCAAACGAAATATTACCAGATTCCCTTACTCTTTCTCAAAAATTTGAGTTCTTGAAACCTTCGAAGGGGAGAGATCTTAAGAAGGCAACTACAGTATGAGGTGAGAAGGCAATCCAATCATAGACAGGCAAACAATTTCTTCTACTAGAGTTGTATAACAGTACCTTCATATTGTTTTCTCAATAATTATTATCCCTGTTCTTCAATCATTTACTACCCAGTCAATGTGCCTATCTTTCATTTATCCTTGTTTTTTTTCTTTTTGGTTACATTTAATATCTGTTTTTATTTAGGTTTGTGAAAGTAGCTACTTTTATCGGGTAACTGCAATTGGGTTTTGAAAGTTCATGCTTTTTAAAGCTAAATTAGTTACGTTTCGAGTTTATTGCATGAATTTTATGCAAATGGCGATTTGGAATTTACGTTTACATTTTTATGTTTACATTTTGGCTTTGTTTAATTAGCATGTTAATGAGGTAAAGATAAATCAAGGAGAAGCTTCCGAAATCAACACCATTTTGGATCCGAATATTGTAGAGGTAATTACTTCAACTCTTCCGCTTTATATGTCAATGCAGTTTTTTTCCTGTTCTCAATGTTATGCAAAAGAGAAAAGAGTTGTGGTTGTACATGGTAAAGATTTTTAATGTGCAAGGCAGTATATGCTTGATTCTAAATGTTTTAATATCTTGCACCTTTACCTGTGATGCTGATTCTGATCAATATTTTTGAATTGGCTTTCTTTCTTTGGAAGAAAATGAAGTGTTCTATACTAAGTTCAATCGTGAGATCTCTCAAACTTTAAGAAGATGTACACAGACGGTATAAAATGAAATTCCACTTGAAAGGGCAAGAGGGAAGAAGACATCAATTTCAAATTCATCACTTCTTTTGGGTTCAAATAGTAGTAATTTGTTGTTTCTTCTATATTCTGGTGTTTGGGTTTTGCCACAGATGGTCCCAAAAGAAGTAGGTGATTTGTGGATGGCTTATAATCTGATCGTCGAGAGTGATACCGTCTTAGCTATCCAATCAGGTGCCTTTTAGTTTCAATTTCAAATTTTTCCTTTTAATTCTTGTATGCATTGGTTTATTCAATGTTTTTACTATTTCTAGAATATATAGCTTTGCATGAATCATGGTACGCTTTTTTATGTTGTATTTCGAAATTAGATAAGAATGCCATATTAGTACTGATTGTTATTGCATGTGGGAAATTTCTGGCTAAACTTTGACTTCATCTTGTAAAGGAAACATCCAATCGTAGGACCTTAATAAATTATCTTCGTAATTCGTTGTAGGAAGTTTTGACAAAAGTTGCTTCCAGAAGAAGAGATACCGAAACTAAAATTTGAAATCAAAGTAGATGTCAAATATTTTTCACAAAAACAAAAAAAAAATCAATTCAAAATCTTGAATTATTAATAAAAACACCAAGGGTCTGTTCTCTTCGTGTTTCAGTTTTGTAGTTTTGAGTTTTGAATTCGTTTTGAGTTTTGTGTTTTAAATGTTTGTTTTAAAATTACTTGAAATATGTTCTCTTTGTTATTCTGAAAAACTGTTTTTCAAAACATAAAACTGGAAAAAGCTTTTACTTTGAAATTTTGAGAATATTTTTTTTATAATATTTTATTCAAGAAATCTGATTATTCAATAAATTTTAATAGTTTAATGTTAATTTAGTATTAAACATGGTATTAGTTGAATTTTATAGAATTATTTCATGTTAGCCATTGAATTTTATTTTTATTTTAAACTGGTAACCAACTTTAATTTTTCTTCTAATTTGACCGTTATACACGTTTCTGTGATTAAAACTAATGACTTGTCCATATCTCACAGATTGTTTGAAATTCTTAAAACCAATTCCATTTGTAATAATTTTTCATTTCCATCACTATGCAAGCAATGAAAAATATACAATAATGAGTAGCAAATTCCACCTCATTTTGATTCAGGGCGATAGTTTTTAATCGTGCATAAATACAGAATGGCCAAACTGAAACAGAAACATAAATCGAAATTTAATAACATGAAACATGTTCGTGGAATGTAAAATTTGCCTTGATTAAAACGTCAAGTGTACAAATTACTTCAAAAGTCTATAATCCTTTTGAGGCAAATAATACATTTGATGCTATTATACTCTCAATCAAGTATCATATCCAAAAAAATAACATCCCCTCTATTGATCCTTTTTTTTTTTTTTTATCATCCCCTCTATTCTAATGCAAAAGAATGCGTGCAAAAGATGTCATAGCTCCATAACTTGTGCTTTCCATTCACAATCTGGTAGTACAAATTTGATCTTCTCTATTGACTTGCAAATTCCACAGCAACTCTAGTCGAAGGAAGATGAGTTCTCTAAAACGACAGCGTGAGGGTTTGAACCTAACCAAAAAGTTTCACAAAATTCAAAATTAGCATAAAATTAAAGCCAATCATATGACAGTGAGATAACAAGAAATTATAATCCTTCGGATGTCACTTTTCTAATGACTGAATGAGCATAGGTTGAAGCTACTTGAACTATAAAGACATCAGGAGCCGATATCTTCATGCAAATATACCAAAGCAGCAAAAGAACTTGAACAATTGGCTTGAGCATAAGCATTAAGGGACAAAGGTACTCGTACCATTTTGTTAATATGAATAGATGAGTTCGCTAAAACGGGAGTGTGAGGATTTGAACTAATGATTATAGTCCAAGGTACTCGTCCAAAACGGATGACAAACAAACGTTTTTGTTTTTTTTTTTTTTTTTTTTTTCGAAAATTATGATTTAATTCATTTTTCTTGACTCGATTGGATAGGATAGTAATGATTGTTCTGTCCCCATTTCATTGCCATTCTTAATTTCCTATCTTACAAAATATTAGAAAGGATATCCATGTTTTAAATTCTAAATTATGAAATGATTTTCAATTATTCATAATAAACACATTTCCAAACATATTATACAACCCAATTTTTTCACCAAAAAATTTCTAAAATAAAAAAAATAAATCCATAATCTCCCATTTTTACCCCTATTAGCTTTCCAAATTTTCAAGGTGAAGCTCCCCACAAAACCTCTGCAGCAATGGTGGCTGCTTCAGCTTCAGAAACGCATCCCTCTTTTAATATCTCCAATATTTCTTGCTTAAAACTCCTCTCTTTGCCTTAACCCTTCCCCAATCTCCAGTTGGATTGTAAATTTCACTACATATCGTGCAAATCGATTACTTCCCAACCTCTGCAATTCCACAAGTTTCTTGATCATATCGTACATAAAGAAATAATACATCCAACTTCCAACTGGTACATGAACACTTTCTCACCATTCCATCCAGTTTATCACTAAATCCCTTGGAAGTTCAATGGAATTTAATCATTTGCAACTACAAGAAGCCATGTTAAGCCTTATTCTGCCGTATGGACATAACAGGGCTTTCATCTTCACACTTTCCCTCTTTTATCAACATCTTTTTAATCTTCCATTTGAAAATAAGTTAACCTATGCACTCTTTCAATTTTATTTCTAACCTTTAATTTGCATATCTTCCCTGCAAAACCCTTTTCTTCAAAATTTAACACCTGAACTTCACCATGTTTGACACTCCCAAAAAGAAATTGGAAATTCTGCGCAAGCAACCATCTATATCACCAGCACAAATAGGATAACTGCTTATGGAACCATTAATTACTCTCATTTACGACCATAACCAAGTAGAATTACATAAAAATTGAGAACCCAACGAACATATACCACACGCGTAGAGAGATGTAGAGAAATGTATACTTATTCTCAAAGTTCTCAAAGCGAATCAGTAAAATCAACAGGAACAACCATGTGGTCAGAGCTATACAAATCCTTAAATCATAAAGCCCTAAATCAGAAAGTTTCAATCTTCCATACCTTTGAAGACGGCAGACCAGAGACTGCACCACAGACGCACCACGCACAGAAGACCACAGACGACAGATGTACTCGCGCACGGCGTAGAGAGTCAAGATGCAGACCCACGGTAGTCGGAAAAGAGAGATGCAGTGAGGGAAAAGGTAAAGGAGTGGAAGGAAAGCGAGACGTAGGGATTGTGAGAAACGAAAATGAGAGTGTGTTTGCCGTGTTTTGTAAATATAATGGGTTTTTGCTAGAAAACACTCAAAACGTCTATTTAGATGTTTTGAGTTTTGTGTACAATTTTTTTTTTCCAAAATTTATTTTCGAAAATGGGAAAGAGAACGAGTTTTTACCGTTTTAAAAAATCGAAAACAGAAAACGTCTTGAAAATGACAAAGAGAACAGTCCCTAAACCTTTACAGCTAGCAATCTTCAATAATCACTCAATAACCTTCTAATCCACAAATCTATTCGACTAAAAAAGAATAAAGATTGAACACAACAAATGAGATCACCAACAAAAAAATTAGGACTTCGTAATTTATAGTAATTCTCAGCTTTTTGCATCTTGTGTGTGTATCGTGTTAAGCAAGTTTAAATTCATTTTATCATAAAACGACAACCTGATCATCCTCGAGGCACGAATATATTTATTTTATCTTTGTATATAGCAGCAAAATATTAAAGCATTGAGAATCACATTTTTTTTCACTTTTATTATAGGTCCCTACTATAGTATAAGAGCCTTAATCTCCTGATGAAGATCTTTTGGCTATTTTTGTTGTTTTCAATTTTCAGATGTTGAAAGAGCATCTATAGCCTCTGCAACCTTCTATTTCGATTAGAAGAACATCCAGGAGGACTTGAGCAGTTGAAACAATATGATGAGTTAAAACAATATGTTGTTTTATTTATTTTCCTTGTCGATAAATCTGAACATTGATGCAAATGTTTTTCACAAGTGGAAAATTTTATTTTGATCGTACTAATTGAAATGGCAAAATGCAGCTAATATGGCACTAAATTTTCTTTGTAATCAACTTTAAAATTTTGTTTAAATATTTAATTTTCTTATCTTATAATAGGATTATCAATATGTGTTCATCGCTGTTTTTATTTCAATTTTTAAATTCTACAATATAATGGATAACATTGGAGCAGCATGGGAAGGTGCTAATGATGCTCGTGTTTCCATTTCTACAAAATGACTGAGACCAATTGTTTTTCCAACCATTGACAAGGTTGAATTTATGCCCTAAATTTGCTAAATATAATCTAGGATGGAAACATACTAAATCTTGTAAAAAATTTGCTTCAGTTTGAAGTCTTTTATTCAATGATATTGTACCAATTTTTGGCATGGAAATAAGGTCTTGAGAAGGATAGTGGATTTCTTTCCAGATCATCGCAATAATATATTTTTCTTGTTGAATATCTCTATTTTCTAATGTTCCGGAAATTTAAATATTGGTTGATGCAATTAGGACAGAAGTTCTCACAACCACCGATTAAAGATATGAACTATTTGAAAACAAGATCCATGCTGAGCGTCCTTGACCTACAGAACTATGAGAAGAATTCTAAGAAATGATTGTAGTATACATATCATCTACAGAACATATCAATCTTTAATTTTTGCTTCATCTATCTGTCTATGGTTTTATATCTTACTATTTTGATCCAGTTGAATTTCACTACATCAGTTTGTTTTCTTATTACAAATTCATTTATTCAGAGATAGATGGTTGAAAATCGGTTCAAACAATTATTAGTTTAAAATGTAATTAATGAGAATTCAACATGTTTAACAAACTAATATTATCTTGAAAATAACACAGCCCGTGCATTGCACGGGCAGGTGACTAGTTTCACAAAAACTTATATAAATACATAAATTATTCTGTGGTGGATATAATTACAAATCTCTATCTTGTTACCCTAACAGTGCATGAAATTTAATATGAATGTAATAAATTTGATTATAGTCAACTTATCTAACATGGTTGTTAATATTACTTTGAAGCTTTAATATGCTTGAATAATTCATATAATATTATCATGAGTAGAAGGAAATACGAGTTGTACTTTCTTTTCTTTATCTTGCTCTAGATTTTTGTTCCGTTGGATTTTCCTAGCAATGTTTTTAATGAGACAACTTTTGTAGCGGACTCAAAAGAATAAATGTACTCTTTTTCTTTCATTAGGATTTTTTCACAGGTTTTTCTTAATAAGGTTTTAACAATGTATATTCTTTGTGTAATGAATGTTTATAACATAAAAGACATTTACCCTAAAAATAATACTCTTATATGTATGAGACTCTTGGAGAGATTAACATAAGCTATTTTTGGGATTATCATGTCACTACAATCATCAAAGGCTAATAAAATATGTCTTATGAAGACGGTGTTATTGAAGACAGTAGAAAACAACATGAGACATATTTCATCAAAAATGTAATATTGAAGACATTGGTGTCCAAGACGGTGATGAATTAATATAAGAATTGAAATTAGGAGGAGTGACTGTATTCTTTATCTTTCGATCAAGTTTTAACTCTCTAAGTTTTCTTGACAAGATTTTAGTGAGATAGTATTTTATTACTCCAAATTATTTTTACTCTTTTTTCATTTGTAGGCATTTTGTCCCATTGAATTTTTGCCACATAATGTTTCAATGGGATAGTTATTATGTAAATACTAAATAGTCATTTAAGGGGGGAATGTGGTAAATATAGAAGTATTTATAAGTGACTTTTATACCCCACAATCCGAGTCATTATGACTATTGTATAATTTGTAACACCAATTCTGCCCTATAAGTATGAAGTTTTAGTTCTTAATAAAACACACAAGTTTATTAGCTTTTAACATTGTACAATTTATTTATGGGTGTAGTAGCATATCAATAATTTTTTCGACATAATTTCTAAAGTCGATGAACTTATTCAACTTAGTACATCTAATCAACTAGTAGTCTTTTTCATTTCATTATCAAAGTGAGTAAGCTGGCCTTCAACTCCTAGACGGATTCTTCTTGGATCAAAACGTGTTATGTTACTATCATCTAAACGTGTGTGTTGAATAAAATTCTATACCAATTACATTACGTGATTTGTTAAATAGTTTATAAATACATTGAATGTCAACTTGCCATAAATTGAATTGACTAGAGGCTATGATGTCATTAAAACTCGATTAAGTTCGAGAAATTTAAATTTTCAACATCAATACTCGATTAACTATAACTACCCGCAAATAAAATAGCAACTTTGAAATGGTATTAATTGAGATTATCCCAATATATGCCGTCAATGGATTTGAAATTGAATTTATTGTAATGTCAAAACAAAGTTTTATAAAGAGTATAGTATGATGAGCATGTAAAACTTAACTTTCAGAATATTAGTTGAGACGTCATATTGATTGACTTAATGAAGATTTAAAGACCTCAACAATTACATTTAGATTTGAAAATATTCAACGTGTTTAAGGCTACAATAAACATCCACACGTGTGTTTATAATTATATTTAGACGTAGAATTATATTCTTGGATGGATTAAGATTCAGAGGAGGGTCGACATGGACGTCCAGAGTGGTTTAATCTTTTATAAACCTCTTTAAAAAGTTAAAAAAATAATTTAATTAATCAGGGGAATAGTGAGCGTTTTGGTCTGATTAATCAGCAAGACTCCAACTAAAATGTCATCGTTATTAGTTAATTGAAAGGAAAATTAATATCAAGTAATTTAGGAATAAATGAGATGCAACCATTTACTTTTAGAATTATTCTTTGAGTACATAATAATGTACATAAGGCCCAGGCGACCCTCCAATAGCGGGGCGTCGGGTGTCAAAAATATTTTGGACACCCTTATGTGCCCCTCTAATGTACCCATATGATAACTCATTTTATGTACCCATAGAATAACTCTTACTTTATTGGTCTACATATAAATAATTTGTTTAATTTAATTAGCTTAGGTGGGTTGGACCTCAACGAGGCCAGATGCGCCCTGATTTTTTGGAGGGAGGGAGCGGGGGGGAACCAATATAATAATCATAGTTATCAGACTCGACCTGGGCATCGATCCGGACAACGCAATGGGTCAGTGGTTCAACCGGTGATCCAGTGCTTCGACCGGTGGGTCAATTCTCGTCAAATATATTTACCATCAACTAAATTTACTATGTTATTTTGGTGGCTAAAGAACAACCTTATAAAAAAAAATGCAACAAACACTAGATCACATGTTATGGAAAATCCATTTGCAACATCAAAATTCAACAAACACTAGATCACTTTAAAGTTGCACAAAAAAATCTTATTTTCATATATTTCAATGGCTCAAATTTGATATTCATCAACAAAATACTTAAATTCCAGACTTTTTTTTTTTTTTTTAATATCCTTAAAACCAATCATTCATTACATCTCTAAGATGCAAAAATAGCTTAAAGTTCCTTGATTCCGATCATCATATCACACATTATAGAAGATTTCATAGCCAAAATAAGGATGTTGCTAGTCTAAAATAAAGATGTTGCAGTGATTACAACTATTAACATATCCCTTTGCTACAAAATATCAAATACCTTTAGAGCATATCCCCATAGCCAAAATAAATTACAACTATTAACATATCCCCTTTGCTATAAAATATCAAACACCTTTAGAGCATATCCCCCGTAGCCAAAATAAAGATGTTGCTACTTGCTAGCCTAGAAGCACCCCTTCCAAAAAGTCAGTAATTACAAGTACACCTTTAGAGCACCCCCTAATCACCATTAAGCATAATGACCGCCATTGTCCCCATCATATCCACCACCCATCTCACAAACTTTTCTCCAAACATCCTTCTCCACACAGACCATGCCCACCACGCAACCGACTTTCGTGCCCAAATGGTAGAAAAAAAGAAAGGTCCCCTATTCGCATGGATTTCACATTCTTCTGGGCTTGCTTGTTCATCAACCAGTGCAACATGGGGGGCTATTGTTTCATGGATTCCGTATCTTAAAACTTGAAATTGGAGATTGGATTTTTTGGAGTTGTTGAATTGCAAGAGATTGGAGACGGCGGCTTAACTTTTTGATTTTGCAACAATCCCTAATGTTTTAGAAGTTGTGAGGAGACGGGAGTGAGGAAACCGAAAAGATGGAAACTGAAAATTGGAAAGAAACAAAGGTTAATAAAGACCTGGTGGGTCAAAGGAAAAGTGGTACCCGATTTTTATGAAAAGCCAGTGGTTCAAACGGGTTGATAGAGAGCTGATTGTTCAGCCATAAATTCATTAAACTCGGACGGGACTTGGGTCCAATTCGACGGGTTCTGGACCGAACTGGCTAGTCCGGTCCGGATTTTATAACTATGATAATAATGTTTTAAGAAATTTGTGACTGTTGCCGTCCCACATCGGCTGGAGAATAATAAATAAACTTATATACGAATTATTTAGTTGGCGAGCTTATTGCAAAATTGAACAAGATAATTAATCTCGGTGCTTTTTTACATGGTCGTCTTTGTTAATTTCTCTTGTGCTTCCTCCGATGCTAAAGTAATAGAGAGAATTTATGCGTGAGACTATGAACTGAAAATAATGAAAAACATATCTCAAAAACGATTCAGCCTTATTCCTGCTCCGATTCAGTCTTCTGCAAATCATGATTCAGCCTCCTGCGGTCCTACCCCTTCTGGCTTCTGCTATTGACTCCTCACGTTGCTTGTCAGTCAGTTCAAACCCTAAGGTCCCTAACCCAAAACCCAAAGGTCAGTAACGGTTTTTTTATTCCCGCCCGATGACTACTGGTTCTGTTCCATTAGTTAATTAGTTATGCTTTGAAATTGAGCATTTACTTCTGTTGACACTTGACACACTATTACCGAATGTATCTCATTATCTGCCATCTGTTCTGGAATTTGGAAATGAATTTATCAATTTGTGATTTGTGAGATTTATTTCGGGAACTTCATCAAAAATTCAAATTAGAGGCAGCATTATTAGGCAATTGTGAATTATTTATGCTTAATTTTGTAGCACTTTTACAATGGCATCGGTGGAGGCGGAGGCGGAGGTGGAGGTGGAGATAACAATGACGGGTGTGATGACAACAACAAGATGAACAACAAAGACGAGGCCTTTATGGCATTGAATAAGGCCAGTAGGAGTCTTGAGAGTTTGCTAAAGAATTTGAAGGCAGCCATTGAGGATGAACAGGGGCGGACCCACATGGGGTCATGTGAGATCAAATGACATCACAGTTTGTTTGTTTGTTTTTTACCCCCTGCTGAAAATGTAATTTTTTTTTGGGAAAATTTCACAAGTAAGAGATTAAGTATGCCATATTTCAAAATTAAGAAAACAAGTTTCAAACTTCAAAAATCAGATTTTTATTATATTTTATTTATGATTTAATTAATTAATTAAATAATTTATTAATTAAATATATTTAGGTCACATATTTGTATAATTTGGTCACAAATTAACAATTCAACTAGTCATTTATTATTTTTTGGTCACAAATAAAAAATTTTATATCACAAATTATTATATTATCACAATTCAAAAGTTTTGTAGGTCACAATTTTTTCGTTGGTCACAAATTAAAAAATTAATTAGTCACGAATTAATTTTTAGTCACGAGTTATCAAATTATTGATCACAATTTATTTTTCGGTCACAAATCAAAGAATTTATAGGTCATAGAATATTTTTGGGTCACGAATCCAAAAATTTTATAGGTCACAGATTTGTTCGAGATTACAAATCAAAATTTAGTAAGTTATAGATCACATCATTAATCACAAATTCAAAAAATTATAGGTCAATAATATTTTTGGGTCACGAATCTAAAAATTTTATAGGTCACAGATTTGTTCGAGATCATAAATCAAAATTTTTATAAGTCACAGATCACATTATTACTCACAAATTCAAAAAATTATAGTTCGCATAATATTTTTGGGTCAGGAATTCAAAAATTTTATAGGTCACAGATTTGTTCGAGGTCACAAATCAAAGAATTTATAGGTCACAGAATATTTTTGGGTCACGAATCCAAAAATTTTATAGGTCACAGATTTGTTCGAGGTCACAAATCAAAGAGTTTATAGGTCACAGAATATTTTTGGGTCACGAATCCAAAAATTTTATAGGTCACAGATTTGTTCGAGGTCACAAATTTTCCGAACTAAAATAATTACTAATTGCAAAAAATTATATATTATAAAATAAACAAGTGCTAGACATAACAATTTTTTTACAAATTTTTGCAGCAGCAAGATCAAACTCTGCCATTCAGTAATCACTGGAAGCACTAGATGATACTTAAAATTCAATTTCCAAATCTAGCTTTCTAACCTAAACCCAAAAAACCAGACAAATATGGACACAGAAAAGAAGAAGAAACAGATAACAATGACGGGTGTGATGACAACAACAAGATGAACAAAAAAGACGAGGCCTTTATGGCATTGAATAAGGCCAGTAGGAGTCTTGAGAGTTTGCTAAAGAATTTGAAGGCAGCCATTGAGGATGGACAAGGGCGAACCCACATGGGGTCATGTGAGCTCAAATGACATCACAGTTTGTTTTTTTTTTCCCCCTGCTGAAAATGCTTTTTTTTTTTCTCTCCTGCTGCCTGTTCCCAAAGCCAAGTGACCAACCCAATTAATTTCCCTAGCCCAATGCCCAAAAAGTCCAAATTCTAAATTTATATCCATATCACAAGGTCTATATCCATTAGTTAATCCATAGATATATTATATAATCCACCAATTTTTTTCACAAAGTGTAAACACCGAACACGAATAGCAAACCACCGATTTCTCCTTTTTGTTCATAATACGTTATTCGAAAAAAATTTAATTTTTGACCCCACAAGTCGAAGTGTCTGGATCTGTCCCTGAGGATGGAAGAATATCAGGACCTATTTTGTTGATATATTTTGAACTGGAAAAGTCTGATTTGCTTTCCTGGCTAATGAAGTTTGGTGGGTTGAAAGAGCGATTACTGGCTGATGATCTCTTGGCAAAAGTTTTCGTTGAATGTGGAGTTGGACTCTTCAACAAGGTAATTGAATTTAATGAAATTAATTTAAATTCTTGTATGTTAGGATTGTTCATATTTAGCCCTTGTTTGATAACCATTATTTGAAAATAAATTTTTGTACATACTCATTTTCAACTATATATTTGTACAATAAAATATTTTACACGTAAATCTAATTTTTTTTCTACTTTTTAATTATACATTCCTTTAAAAATCACGATTCAAAACATTAATTTTTTTTTCCCCAAATAATGGGCATCAATTAGGGGCTTAGTTCGAAGCAAGAATTCTACTCTTGAGCCAATTGGTTGGATCACTTGAGCAAATGATAGTTGTCAAATGCCACTACACTAATAGATTTTCAAATGAAATGGTTAAAGCATGATAGAACATGATTTTCATAGTCAATTGTTCAAGGGGTTGTTTGTCTTTATTATATTGTTGTTGGTAAGGGATTTATCACTATTTATGATGAAAATGCTTTTGATATTTTTAGCAAGAGAAAATGATGTGTTCCTGAATTGATAAAGTCAAAAGGTTGCACCTTTAGTAGTTTGGATAAATTAAATTGGTAGTCCGACCCCCCATTTGGCCCCCATTCTTTTTAAATTTTAATGGTTGAAATACTAATTTTTTTTGAAAATTATGTAGTTGAAAAAGAGTGAAAAGTTTTCGATTTGCGTACAATATTATTTTATGAAAGATTGCGCGGTTAAAAATAAGAGAGAAAAAAGAATAAAAAAGAGACTGGGGGCTAAACGAGGGCAGAGTCTTATTTATAAGCTTAAAATATATGTCATTGTTTGAGCCCCATTTTTGCCAAGAAAATGCATTTTTTGAATTGTGTAATATGTGAAATGTGTGGTTAAAAAATAAGAAAAAGTTTTAAATTTTCGTGTAATATTATTTTATTAAAGAATATGTGGTTGAAATAATGTCAAAACACTGTTTACGAAAGTATTTTTTCAAAAAAATGAGACTCAAACAATGGCTATATGTACATTATTTACTTTTAGCAGTTAAAGTTTTTTTCTTGCTTGTATTAGTTATTTTATTGCAGTCGATGCTAAATGTGTGAGAACCCGCAGTGAACCATTGTAATAAAATATCGAATGTTTTAATTTTCTTACAACTTTTTTGCAAGTTTGATTATATCCTCATAACTCAAAAGTGTTTGGATTCGCCATGATGGTGGCTAAAAGTAGGAAGAATACCAAACTAATATTTCTCTATACAATTATAGTAGTTTGACATTATAATAATCTTTTTTAGTTCAAATCCATAAAAGTTGATCAAAGAGTATCACGTCATTTTTGACATCAACAGTTTGACGTTGAAGGAGGGCTGGATTGCCACCTCATATTTCCAAGCAGAATCAAGTTCCACAAGAATATCTCGGTTTGTTATTCTTGATATCCTTCAGTTTACAAATTGAGCTTCATTTTAGGATCTAGAAGTCATTCTAGTGTTAATTGCGACGGTATAAGAATCTCGAGTGACTGTCAAAGTCGCAGTGTCGAAGATGATTCCATGAAAATAGAAAATTTCCAACTAGCCACCTTACATAAGGTTATAAAACACTTCATGACATTGCCTCCGTTTAGTTCTGATTTTTCACCCAGAAAAAATCAATTTTTTGATCGTTACTTTCCTAAGTAAATCGTCGTTTTTTGCCTTTTTCACTCACAGATAAGATTCACTTTTTTCTCTAATGATCAAAAAATTGATTCTCAAAATCACTACCAAATAGGTCCATAAGTAACGAATCGTGTGAAATTAAATGAAGATCACATGTGCTATGAAAACTAAGGTGGAATCTCGTGATCAAGGCAGAGGTTTCTATCTAAAGGAACTTGCAGTTCCAGAGAGGAGTCCTCCATAAGTATAACTAACAACACTAGGGGGATGTCCCCAAAAAGAGCTCAAAAATTTGAGATGAGAAGTAAACTTGTTTGACCACCTAGGATGGCATGACTCATCTTACCAAGAAAGTTTTGCATTAAGTGGGATAGAAACCACCTCTAAATCTCTGCCACTTGTCGCTCATCTACATCCTATGAATACAACTATATTCCACCAACATCTGAAGCGTCAATTATTGATCGAATAACTAGTAATCAAGGTTTGATCTCTCAAAAAGAACTCAAACCTTAGGGAACAATCTGTAGTTGCCAATATGAGATCCCATGTCAAATGAGTTTAGGCCCTCTTTGACTCGATTAAAGAAGGCTATCTATAAATGGATTTAGACAAATCAGCTTGGCACATTGAGCCAGGACCCAATAGATGGAGGTTGGAGCCAAACTAAGACGATATCATAAGGAAACGGCGTTATGAATCCATACGAGTGTTCTCCCTTGACAGTAGCACTATCCACACCAATAAATCAAGAGGCTGATAAGACGGTATAGGGCA